TATTTTTATCTATTTTCTTAAAATGTTGTATAACAATAATTTTTGAACATTTTTCTATTATTTTGTTTTTATGTTATTATTTTTTTATGTTTTTATAACTATTTTAATGTTGTTTTAAATTTTTATGCGAACTCCTCATTCAGTTATACTGATCTTATAAATGCTGATGACGATGTACGCGATCTGCTAAGCAAATTCGTGATGCAAATCAAAAAAATACATCGTAACCCAAATGTAATCGAAATACGTTCACTTTGGTTGGTCAATTCCATCACGTAAGTAACAATAAATATTTGATGCATAAAATACAATTAATTAATTTTTTTTATGGTTACACACATCAACAGACTTCTCAATTTATTGAAACAATATGGTGACGTTGAGGAATATGTTAAATTCAATACGGACAAACAAAATCAACAACAACTAAAGAATTTCAATCTGTACGAGTATCGGCGCGTAATATTAGACATAATTATCAGTTTATACCAGGTGTTGGTGAAGCAGATACAAACCTTATTGGAGCGTTATATCGTACCAGCCATACTCGATAATGACGAAATCCAACGTAATCGGCAAGTACAAGGTATGCGCGGTCGTACTGCCTCAATGGATTCAACGTCATCACCCGAGCATGGTAAAGTAGCTGCCTGGAAGCTGCTCATCAATCACCTGGAACAATTTTATAAACAATTCCAACACTTCGGCTTAGATCGTTGTTACTCAGAACAGATTTTCCATCAATTGTTGTATTTCATTTGTGCGGTCGCACTAAATTGTTTAATGTTACGTGGTGATATATGTATGTGGGAGACTGGCATGATCATACGTTACAATTTGGGTTATATTGAGGATTGGGTGCGCAGCAAGGGAATGGTGAGTGCACTTAATTAAGTCTTATTGTTTGCGAATATTATATATATTTATATTCATTTGTTTTAAACATTTTAATTTTTTCATAGTCAAATGATGTGTTGGCACCATTGGCGCCACTGAATCAAGTATCACAGTTGTTGCAATCGCGCAAGAGCGAACAAGATGTTCAAAGTATTTGTGATTTGTGCACATCGTTGAATACGGCGCAAGTGTTGAAGGTAAGTATATATTTCAATTTAAGAATTTAATTACGATTTTTTTAACAGTAGGGTAAAATTTATAAATAAAAGTCCTGAATTTATCACTCTTGTTTTTTTTAACTAAAACTTTTAAATATTTGAGTTTTATTTATAAAAAAAGTTCACTGCATACAATTTTTTTACTATATCAAATTTGATAAATAATTTTAAACTAAAATTTTAAATATTTGAATTTGATGAATTGAGGCTTTATTTTTTTAAAAGGTG